AAGGTTGGTAAGATTATGCTCAACAGTCATTATTCTTGTTATTTAATAGTGGCTATGGAACGTAATATAGTGCTATAAACCATTACAACGATTTGGCCTATGGAAACATTTTATTGTTATCAAAATTATGAATGGTTTTGGGAGAGGGAGCATCACTTGCAAAGATCAATAAACAAGGCCAATAATAAAAATATATGGATAAATATTTGATTGACTAACTTTGGAGTACAGGGCTTATTCATGCAGGATTTTACCAAAAAGATTACAGTTGGTGTGGTTGAATGTAAAATAAATAAGGTCGATTCTAGAAAGAGATGAAAAGAACACAAAATGGATGGTTAATATCTGAATTAAACCATGAAATGTACAACAAATCAGTCAGCATCTGAAAGAGCAATCTAGGTTAATGTTTTAGTCCTTCATCAGAACTCTGTAGATAAAGCATGGCTGATATGCCAAATGCCTTCTTATGGTGTTACTTATGGTTACTTACTGCATCTCAAATCATTCAAGGTGGTCAGGGACACACCTAAGATATGTTTCTGAGTTGATTTTCAGCGACCTGGAAATCAGACCAATTTTGTGCTCTGTTTTAACGCAACTGTCGGGATATTGGACCAAGATGGCCATGTTAAGGAGGGGTTGCCCTTTATTTATCTAGTGAATTCTCAAACCTGAACTTATCACCTGGGTAAGGGGAGGGAGGAACGAGAGTCGGGTCTCTCTCGGGCTGAGTCAGCTCTAAGATGACATACCTATAAAATGTACGTAGGTTTGGGATGTTGGAAATGAGTCAATTCTTTGAGATGGTCAATGGCAGTTTGGTTTCTAAGGCAGAGAGGGAAGTTCTTCAGTGGTTAGAGCACTCGCCACGCAAGCGAGAAGCCCTGGTTTCGATTCCTGGGCAGGGCGAAACATTGGGCAAGTTTCCTTACTCAGTTTACTGAGCCGAAAGTAGGAATCCAGTTGTTAGTCATTGGCAGATCGCCTTAGCAGGGGTAATAATACCTTCAAAAAATAATAATTTGGTCACTCAATCCACGACTGTTTGTGGGACACCCAGTTCGATGCTGTGCTTTGCCCACAAACTATACAGTTAATGCTCTTTACAGTATATTCTGTGAAGCGCTTTGAGATGACTCCGGAACGCTACTCCGCATGAAGGGTGCTATGTAAATGCAAGTTGTTGTTGTCTTGAAGATGTGATAAGCTACTATATCAAATGCAAGTATTACACTAATAATCGCATACTTTATTATAATTTTCAGGATCAGGCAAGATGGCCTTATACAACCCAGAAATTTCATGCAAATTGTCAAATAAAGCTTTTGAGGAAATGGAGAGTTATTTTAATTATGTAATCTCCTTTTTATTCCCTCAACATCCTATTCAAAGCCACTAGTACATACATATGTAACTATTAATTGTACTGTGTAGTCGACAGTAAAAGGAGTGTTTTACTCAGAGTTCTTTTGAATCTATACAATGTACTTTCTTGATGCTTATTAAAGTTCATATTTCTAAATTGTGTTTGTTATTATTTAAACTGCAAAGGAATGAAATAGAGATTGTACAATTGTTTCTAAACTTTTGATCTTGCAAATTGGTGGTAGCAACAACACATTTATATAGTGCCCCTCATGCAGGATAGAGTCCCAGAGTGCTTGATAATGGCAGAGCACGACACTGATCCGGGGGCAGGTGACCATGTAGGCACGGTTAAATAGAAAGGTCTTCAGGCGCTACCTGAAGATGGGGAAGGAAGGAGCAAGGTAGAGGGACAGAGGAAGAGTATTCCAGAGTTTCGGGGCATAGTGACTGAAAGCACAGCAACCAATGGTGGAACGGAGAGTACAAATGACATGCAGAGGGCCGGAGCCAGTCGAATGGAGGCAGCAGGTTGTAGGTTGGGGGGTAAGCAGATCGGAGAGGTAGGAAGGTGCCAGGGTCTGAAGGGATTTGAAAACAAGTGTGGGGATCTTGAAATCGATCTGTTTGGCGATAAGGAGCCAGTGGAGCCTGGCTAGAACTGGTGTGATGGGGTATGGAGTTTAGTGTAAATNAAAAAATATTTATAGGAGGCGATGCATTGAAATGAGCTTTAGTGGATCTGGGTCCCAACATTTCTCATGTTCTTGAGACCATTATCTTCATGTTTAAAATTGCACATAACTTTATTTCTTATCTTACATTCAATCCTTTAAATGCCAGTTTCTCACCATTCTTTTTGGTCTTCAAATTACGACTGAATTCAAAGCTATTTTCAAAAATTCCGCAAAATCTCAAATTTTAAGACAATCACCTTCAGCCTAAAAACATCAATGCTAATACAGTACAGGTAATATCATGGCCTCATACTGTGTTGTAGATTTCTATTCAAGAGCAGGAAGGATGACAAGCTCCTCATTTTTACGTTTTCTATTTTATCTAATTAAGCTTCCCCCAAAACATCATTTCGTGAGATACACTGTCGAATATTCTGAAAATGCTTTTGCTCATTTATAACATTCCCATCACTGTTTAGTCCAGATGTAGCAGCTGTTACTCCTTTCTTACTGCTGTCATATGGTAACTTTAGAGTATGGCATTTGCATCAATATTCCCATTGTTAATCCATAATATCACTGTTCGTTTGAGGAATGCCAGGATTAATGACATGCCACGAGACTGTCAAAACCCTGTGTTGTGAATATGGTCTGTGAAGTGGCTTCTACCCTGGTGGCTTCTGACCTTCCTTACAACCCTTTCCTCCTGGGATAATACAGTGGCAGCTACAATTGGAGAACATGTCATTGGTTAATGCAAATGTCTCAACACACTTAGCCAGAGTTGTAGCACACTGGTAGCATTTGCTTCTTCTCAGACCATCATTAAATAATAATAATGCTTGCATTTGATATAGCACTTTTCACGTCTTCTAGACGTCTCAAAGCACTTCACAGAATATATAGTGAATTGACTATATTTGTGGGTGAAATGCGGCAGTCAATTGCACACAGTAGTGTGCCTCAAACAGTTGTGGATTGAGTGACCAAATTATTATTGTTTTTTTTTGAGGGATTATTATCCCCGGAAAAGCAATCCGCCAATTGACTAACAACTGGGTTCCTACTTACTGCTAGGTAAACAGAGGCGTGTGGAGTAAGGAAACTTGCCCAATATTTCACCCTGCCGGGAATAGAACCCAGGTCTCTCGCTTGCGAGGTGAGTGCTCTAACCATTGAGCTACAGATTCCACAAAATGTTCTGTATTCAGTATGTCTAGGAGAATCTTAGCTTGTCCCCCATAAGTAGTAGTGTGGAACTTCAGTGTCGAAAGCGAAGGTGAATGTGATTAGTGCAGACAGCTCCTGGGGGGAGCTAGCAACAACACAAGCACAGACACAATCGGGAAAGAGTAAGGGAATGAGATTTGGCACATTCGAGAATTTAGTGCACCCCAATACTCTGCTGGAGTGTAAACCTAGACTGTGATTTCAGAGTGGTCATGAACCTCGACTGTGAGTTCAAAGTCCTGAAATCTTGAACCCACAAGGTTCTGACTCAGAAGAGCTCTCAACTGAGTTAGGCTACACTTAATATAACTTTGGATGAAATTACATTGATTTTTTTTAATGAAGCGCTCTCTAGTCATGTATACTATAACGAACTGCAAGGGTAAACCCTTCTCTTCCCTTTTCCAAAATCGGAAGAGGACTCTGTACTGTACCACTGTGGAATTTTCCATTTTCCACACCATCTGTTTTTATGACCTTAATCATTTTCTCCTCCGTACAGGGCTGAAGGTAATTTGTGTGCTTCATTAAATAATCATCAGAGCACAGTTCCTAGAACAGAGTTACAATTTTCTCTGTCCACTAGATCATGATAGCTAGCATGACTGTCAAAGGTTATAAGTTAAAACGGTTCTCCAGGTCCGAACAGTGTTCCCAGATCAGTGAGCAAATAAATAAGAAATATATTTTTGAAAGTCCCTTGACTGACTTGTAGTGGATGTGGAACTGAGCTGTTTCACTGGATGCATTGCTCAACGTATGCAATTTAAATTGTTGCTGCTGAGGTGCAACTGTGCATAACAACAGTCGTGTATCTCCTCACTGCAGTGCCACAAGCATGATTTTTGAGGAGGTGGATTGCACTCAAGGAGGCATTAACAGATTGGAGGTTGTGCCTCAAATTTCCCACTGGTATTGGTCTCGCATTCGATTTTAGGGACTTGCATGACATCCGTTCAAGTCATGTCAGACCTACTCTCTGCATTATCAGCCTTTCTAGTATTCATCACAGATAGGATTTTCTAATGCCTGTCACATCAAAACATCCCATTACACTGTATCATAATTATTGTCCAGTGTAGTCACTGTATTTGACAGCAACAAGGGAGCTGTTTTGCACACAGCAAAGTCCTACAAACAGATTTGAGTTGAATGTTCCCTTAACACATCAAACATTCCCTTAACACATCAAATCTTTAAACAACACATTTCATCACCTAATCAATTCTAGTCAATGTATTTCTTACTGATTATTTAAGACCTGCAATTTATCCTCCCTTCAAAGAAATGGCTCAACTTTCTGACCTTCTCTCTTGAAATACTGTAAATTGATTTTGCCCCTCCCTTCTCTCTTCAAATGTTTGAAACAATCTACATCTGTGTATTGTGAACCCCAAATCCAAGGTTAAAATTGAAAACACTGCAAGAATTATTAAATTATCTCAATTCCCAAATGAGGGATAGGCATAAATTTGATACCACTATATCTCTAATTAAATAATGGCATATCCAAAGATCCATTACCAGTATCTTATCACTGCACTGTATCATTATCATGGTCACTAGCTGAAGGACCTGAGACATTAAACCAAACCTGTCAAGTTAATCTGTCTGTTCCTTAGGTGGACATTAAAGATCCCAAGATGTTATTTGAACAGAAAGTGGAGCTTCTCAGTGTATTCTGGCTGAAAATCCTCCAGATTACTTTCATGGCTGTTATGTGGGACCTTGCTGTGCACAAAATTATCGACACGTTTACCTACAAATACAGTTCATTACACTAATTCGCCATGAGGCGTTTAAGATGTTTTGACCTCAGACGCGCTATTCCACTATACAGTACATTCTGTGAAGCGCTTTGAGATGTCTCAATGATATGATATGGCGCTATATCAAATGCAAGTTTTTTTTTATTATTTTAAATGCAATAAAATAATGGATTATTATTGGTAGAACATTGAGGGTACAAGGTTAAGCTCCTATGGATTACATTCTCTAAATTTGCTCCATGATTCTATATTGGGGTGAAAAATGCAGTGCAGTAAACTCCCGTCTTGCTGGACTCTGCTTATCTGCGTACCTAGCTGAAACCGAAAAATTGTAAAAAAAAATTCTGTGGACTAAAATTTTGGGGATATCGATTTTGACTCAGATTGTTTGTTTAATAAGGCTGGAATGCCCCGAGCAGAAGATAGCTAAGTTTATATACAGTACATTCTTACAGAAAAAAAAGCAGTACCAAAAACTGTAGTTTTGCAATTAACTTAGTTGGAAGACCAGATTTCCCCTCCATTGTCTGGTTAGCCGGGATTTTACTGTATATGATGGGATCATTATCACTGGTGATAGCTAACACATCATTGAAAACTCTGATCCATCTATTTGGGAATGCACACTCTCCCCGGCACATTTCTTTGGATAGTTAAGATAATAACCAAACACACATTGATAACTAGGATTCCCATTTGTGACTGGGTCATTATTAAGGATTGGTTAAGTTCTCGGTCATCTTATTGTACTCTCAGAGCTTTCAGTACTGCTGCCAAATGTGGGCCAAACTCTGAAAATAAATGTGACAATATCAGTGGGGCGGAGTGGGGGGGAAAGAGGGGAGGGTATCTTCCTCTAAACATTACTGCAGAGCAATCTTTTTACAAGAGTTTCTCCCACAAAATTCAGTCAATTCACTTTACAGTATATTCTGTGAAGCGCTTTGAGACGTTGTCACGATGTGATAAGACGCTGTATCAAATGCAAGGATTATTGTTAACGCAGTGTTTGGGGACTATGAAATTGGACACTGCATTGCAATGGGTGTTTGTGAAAATGGCTACCAGTCCCATTTCAAGGTCATCAGATCACCACTGATGTCACGCCCAGCTTTGGACAAGCATAAATACAGGAAGCTGGACATTTCGCTCTGGAAGTTGGACGTAAGTGTAACCACAGGCCTAACAGAGATCTGCATTGTAATCAAACTTGCAATCCAGTGATGTGCCTTATAAACGGAATTAAAGCTGGGTTCAGATACACTGTTCAACAACGAACATCCTATGTTATTCACCACATTGTGTCAGTTGTACTAAGTGTACAGTTTCTCAGTTTATCGAGTTCTCCAAACCACACTGTAGACACAGATTCCTCTGCCACATGACTTAGCACAGTGCCAGCAACATGACTCAAA